AACTATGGTACAATATGCCCACATCATCTCCCAAAACACTGGGGTTTGAAATGGGCTCCCACACTGACCCTGTTATCCCTGACTAAATCATCGGATTTGGTTTAGGGTTTAGGGTTAAGGGTTTAGGGTTTAGGGTTTAGGGTTTAGGGTTTAGGGTCTAGGGTTTAGGGTTTAGGGTTCAGGGTTTGGGGTTGAGGGTTGAGGGTTGAGGGTTGAGGGTTTGGGGTTTGGGGTTTAGGGTTGAGGGTTTGGGGTTTTGGCACCCAATAATTCGCTGGACTTTCCAAGGTCAAGGATGTGGATGTGTTCATCAGCCATTCATGGTCGGCTGGCCGCTGGGAGAAGTACTTGGCCCTGTGCTACTTTCTGAGCCTGGTCGTATCGAGGGGTACTATAATTGGTACCTCTAAGGGAGTTATATATGGGTCATTGCAAGTTGGCTTGGTGTTTGTTCTCACTTTTGAGTGCTCTCCCGCCAACAATCCAGGAACCTTGGTTTGGCAGCAAAGGCGGTAGCCGTATGTGCCATGCTCTCCGAAACCCTTATGCTGGTTTTTCCCGACATGTCCATCCACGTCATGTTCCCTCTCCTGCTGGACCTGCCAGTCGCAGTCTTCTTTTTGGTCTTCTTCTTTGGGCAGCACTTCACTTGCGGAATCTGGGGACCCCGCTTCTGGCTGGACAGGCTCTGCGTGGACCAAACCGATGAGACAACGAAGGCTGCAGGGATCGCAGGCTTGCCCACGATTGTGGCAAACTCCTGTGATTTGCTCGTCCTGTGGGACAAGTCATACTACGAGCGGCCCCTTAGTGTCACATGTTTTGAGCAACATTGAGTAGGAAGCTTGAAAAACTACGGGTCTGAATGTGTCTGAAGGTTTACACGTTGCAGTTCAAGCGCTTCATGCTCCCTGACCCCGTTGCAACTCGCAAGGCTCTGGTGCAACTTTGAGCTGTCGATCTTCTTCAAAGGAAACGGTCTCAAGAATCTGCGGGTTGTGCCACTGTGGCTTACTCCGTGGCTGCTGACGACCATGTTGCTCTCTTACGTTTCAGCTCGTCTCGTCGCTGTCTTCACGGAGTCTGAACCCAGTTTCGGTGTCAATGACCCCAGCAAGCTCTCAGGAGTTGCAGGCAGCGCGCTTGTATTCGGTCTGAAGCGGTTCTGTGGGTATGCGGCGGCAAGTCAAGCTTATCTTCTCTTCTGTCTGCCACCGATCATGGTCGGCATTGTCTCCTTTCAAAAGAAGCTGGACGGACACCGAGATATGCTGGAAAGCATGAAGTCTTTCGATGTGCGCAATGCCAAGTGCACTGTGGAGAGCGACCGTTCAGCCATCGAGGCCCCTCCGCCCCACATCCTCGCAGGCTTACCTAACAATAGGAGCCTGAAGAACGGTGATCTCTATACATTTTCAGTATGAAGCATACGGTGAGCCCATAGTTGCTCCCATGGACCACGTCGGTAATGCCACCCGCCGGTCGAAGGAGTTCAAGAACTAGAGAAGCCTCTTCGCTCGCGCAGCTTTGAACTGTAGCCCTGTCACTTTTGCGGCAAACCCTTGCATTTGTCTTGCGAGCCAAGTCAATGTCGTCACAACATAATGTTGAAGCCTGCAGGCTGGATTGTGTGCCTGACATGTTTCAGGTAGGGCTTTGCCATTCTCCTCGACACACACGGCAAGACTCCAGTCATGCAATACTTCCGCCCGATGTACCAGCTTACAAACGCGTAAGCACTGAAAGCAAGGACGAAAAGTTACGAACGAAAATGCTCGGACCACAGTTTGCAGGCTCAAGTCGCGGAGCTGTTCGACGGACTGGAGGATCCCATGATCACGGTGCCCATCGAAGTGGCCCAAGTTCTCCCAGTCATGGTTTCTGTTTTTTCCGTCGGGTTGGATGTTCGAGAGAGAATGAAAAGCCAAGTCTCGGATTAGTCTGGGTAGAGCTCCCAAATGCTTCCAGCCTGCACCCAAACCTACCTACCCTAAGCCCCGAAACCCTAAACCCCTAAACTCTAAGCCCTAAACCATATACCCTAAACCCGAAACCCTAAGCCCTTAAAGGTGGAGGAGTCAGGCGAGGACGAGCGGCAGGAGTCCGCCCCCACTCTCGAGCCTTCAGGGCCGGGTTTCGTATACGCGGTGGAAGTGAAACTAAAGCCTACACCCTACACCCTACACCCCAAACCCTAAACCCTAAACCCTAAACCCCAAACCCCAAACCCTAAACCCTAAACCCCAAAAACCCGAAACCCTTAACCTTAAACCCTAGACCGAATCCAAAACCTAATCCCCAGACCTGATTACGTAACATATAATCCCGCCCATCCCAAATCCCATTCTTATTGTTGAGGCCCCTTTTGTGGGGTGTGTTTAGGGCCTGACACCCGACAGCTGAAGAGAGGATTCATCCAACACTAGGAAGGTTCGAGGTAAGTCCCACAGGCTCGCATAGGGCTGAAGAATCATTCCCTCAGCTCAGTGAGAGCTTTTCGATTGTGGATGATCACGGAATAGTGCAGTATGTCTGGATGCTGCGGGGTTCCTCGATGCGGCTTCGCTATGTTGGCCGGGTGCACCTTCAGAGCTCCAAAAACGACATGGATGCCATGTATTTAGGGTTTAGGGTTTAGGGTTTAGGGTTTAGGATTTTGGTGCACCACCGTAAGCCCAGAATTCGTTGCACCTCGAGGAGCTCATCGACTTATCGTTGACCTACGCAGCTCGTCTAGCTGTGCGCTCCGTGACGGGCTTCGCGAGCCATGAAGATTGCCTGGAAGAGTTCAACAAGTATGTGCAAGGCCCAATGCGTGCCGCGGTCGTCGAAGACCTTGGGGACGTGACTGATATACCTTATGCTGTGCCTTGCGATGGAATTACTCCGCAGATCTTTTTGCACTTTATTGCGTCATTCGAACACTACGAAAGCACAATCTTCTTCGATACATTCGTCGAAGCACTGAGGTCTGTCTGCTAGCCATGTTCCCCTGGACCTTGTCGTTTGCCCCCGTTTCTTGGGCCGGAAGGCCTTCGCTTCACGCACTTGGCTATGGATCTGACTTCGAGTATACGGTCGTAATGCTGATTGAATTCCTGTTCTTCATGCTGGTGTACCCTGCCGCTGGGCGCATGAGAAGCACCCGTTTTTACGTGGCGATTTTGATGGTGCTTGTTGCCGTTTTCGGTCCCGGAACCCTATCACCCAACCCTCAGTACGGTTGTTCCTGCTTCCGGATCCTAAGCCCTAAACCAAACCCTAAACCCTAAACAAATAAACCCTCAACCCTAAACCCTAAAACCCTAAAACCCTAAAACCCAAAAACCCAAAACCCTAAACCTAAACCTTAAACCCTAAACCCTAAACCCTAAACCTCAGGCAGCATATCCCTACTTGCTTCGATGTGTCCGACGTCTCGACAAGAGCCTCAAGCCTGGCTTTCTGCGGGCAGCCGCGGCCTTCGGCTGCGGACTGCTGATCTTCAGTGTTGTGCAGCTTCTTGGCTCTTAAAAAAGAGGCCTGCATGACTAAACTCTACTCGAATTATTGAAGGCCCCATATTCGTGGTTTCAGGTCTGTGGATTTATTTTCAGTGTTGTGCAGCTTGTTGGCTTCTAGGGTCTTTAGTAGAATGTATCCGCCCGCCCACTATCCCATTCTGGCTCGCTTGTTTGGACTCACATGGAACGAGCCGGCCGGCCAGTCATGAGTACAAGTACATATCACGTACTCGTACGTAGGTAATATGTAAAGGTGACTACAAGCATGCATACGCGTATACATAGATGCATATCTGCAAGTGGCATGGAGACAGAAAAAACGTGGGGAACAGTTTTGTGGCTTGATTGAGATTGTTTCGGGTTATGGCAGTGTGCAGGTTCACGGCTTCGTGCAAAGTGATCGAGCACGGTTCTGCGCATGTGGACACGCGCAGACACACAAACATGCAACACCCCCCCCCCCCCCACACATGAACACAAGAAGTTGGGCAGCATAATAGCTTGTTCTGGTGCTCCGTTTGTAAACCTTGCAATCAATCAAGACCATTCTAGGCTTGAGAATGCTTTCGCAGCCACATCCTTGGAGAGCTTTACATTCACGCGGCATCCAGCTTTCCTCTGCCTCTTCGTGCTCACAGTTGTCGCCGCCATCTTCCAACACCGTGTGCTCTTTGGTGCAGGGTGGCTACAAAAGTCCAGTAATTAGTTGGGATGCAGGTTGAAGGGCTGTCCTGCAAAGCAGACAGACCGATCATCATGCGTTGCTGCAGCCAGGCGCGCCAAAATCGGCTCCAACATGTTCCGGCACACACACCCTTGTCCTCTAGACTCGATTTCGATTCCCAGGATTTCTCTGAGTTGGTCCGGAAAGCCAGGCGTGGTGACAGTTTGTAGCTGCTTATGAGCAGCTAGATTTGTCTGGCTTTACATTGGCACTGCGTAGAGGAAGCAATGTCGTGGCCTGAATCTTTACGGCTTTTGAAGGCTCTGAGGCTTCAGGCTCTTATTGTGCTTTTTTCTGGCTTGAAGTGCTGTGTCTGAAACCTCCGATGGGTTTTCGGGGAGGACTCAACAGCATCCCCGGTGGCAAGCAGTTTGTACTGGTTACATCAACAGCGTTGGCGATCATAGCACCAGTGCTAGGAAGGACACCGCTAGTATAAGCGACAAACCAGAGACATGCAACCCCAATTCAAATAATATTCAGAATGAGGACAATACAGCATTCCTTATCTGATGACGTCTGCCTTGCTGGCCTCTGGGGTTAAGGGTTCAGGGTTTAGGGCGACATGTAAATCTCAGTGATGCCTTTTGCGCTGTGGGCCGGCTCTCAGGATCTGGCTCCACAAAATATGAGGGGAAATTTGTTGTGGATGCGCATAGCCTGTAGTCCTTGCATGTACACGGCAAGAGCCAGGCGCTACGCATGCTGCTGCATTGATGGCACCTAGGGAAACCAAATTGGTTGTATCGGGCCTGCACCTGTGCCATTGAGCCATGCCCGACTTTCGAAGACAAATTCAGGAGGACACGATGCTGTCTTGTGCTGTGAAAATAGAAGAAAAAGGCATGGGGGTTCCGATAATAGGAGGATCCCCTTATAACAAGGATTTCAATAAGGCACCCCTAACATCATAAAACCCCACATGAGACATGTTTTCTGTTCAGTCGCTGTTGAGATTCGGCGTTTCCCTGTGAGTTTGGTCTGTGTTTGCAGGACATCCCTGACATTCCTGACATGGTTGGTGCATCCGATGCCAGCTGCACCGTTACAGCATCTACTGCCGCATGCGCTGGGGACTGTCCACAGGAAGGCGCTGCGCAGCTGCAGCCAGTCTTTGCCAAGGGGCTTAGGGTTTGGTTTTTGGCTTTTGGTTTTTGGGGTTTGGGGTTTTTGGGGTTTAGGGTTTTTGGGTTTTTAGGGTTTAGGGTTTAAGCCCAGCTGCAGCATCGTGTCAGACTCCAGCATTGTGCTGCTGATGTGGAGCGCGGATTTGCTCAGGAGCAGATGCCGTGTGGGAGTGACACAGAGCGGACAGAAGCGTCCAACCATGCAGAGGCCACGGTAAGGACCGACGAGGAGCGCAATGCTTGGAAGGTTTGTGCTCCTAGCAGTTGTGCTGCCAGCTAGGTCAGGTAGGTGTGGTTCCTGATGTCAGAAGCGTGACAAAAAACAGGCGACGCAGCAAGCTTCCAGCTCCAGCAGCGTGCCCTACAAGGAGTGTTACCTGTCTCCGCCTCTTGGCCCGGAAGTGCGAAACCAGTCGGACCTTGTGCCGAAGCAGGAGTGCAGGAAGAGTGTGCGCTTCGATCTAGGTGACGACATTCAGGATGTTCAGGAGAGTGCTGCAGGAAAGCCCGAAGAGCCCAGAAAGGCCACCGAGCCATTGGCTCGTCACGACGTGGGCTGTCTGGAATGGCTCGAAGTCGCCCTTGAAGACAAGGAGATTTTTGATCCCTGCAATGCCAAGAAGTTAGCCTCGGTCATAGGCGGAGCTCAACATGCATATGAAGCTGATGGAAATGTGGCAGCTAAGAAGGTGCTGGTGTTCAGCTTGCAGTGCCGCTTCTCCAAACGCTACCAGACAGCCGCAAGGGCCGTGGAGAAGTATCTGCAGCAATCACAGGATTCTCCGTACGTCAGGTCGATTGCCTTCAAGGAGCTTGGGCAGGTCAACTTCTTGAAGGGCGATCTGGATTCCGCAGAGAAGAGCTTCACCGAAGCCCTCCGCCTCAAGCGATCCGTCTGTCGAGGTTCCAACATGCATGTCGCCATCACACTTCACTCACTTGGCTTAGTCTTCTGGGAAAGAAGAGCCACATCAACTGCGCAGAAGTATTTTGCAGAGGCTCTCAGCATGTGGCAAGCTATCTATGGAAGTCGTTCTGACCTGCGAGTTAGCGACACCCTCCGTTTGCTTGGTGCAGCGTATAAGGAGCTGGGGAAACTTAAAGCTGCAGAAACGAACCTCAGAAAGTCCCTGAGCATGTCCGGAAACCGCAAGTGCCCGGACGTCGCATTCACTCTTGAATGGCTTGGTGTGGTTTGCCAGAAAAGAGGCAATCTGCCAGATGCGGTAAAGCACCTGAAGCTGTGCCTGAGCATGAGGCGGGGCCTTTACGGAGACGCAGCGCAGGAGGACGTGGCCCGAACCCTCGGGCACCTTGCATCGATCTGGTGCGAGACCGGCAACCCAAAAGCTGCGGAGAAGGACGGGAAGGAGTCCCTCGGCATGATGCGAGCGATCCATGGCGATGCTGCCCATGCTGAGGTCGCCCAAGCTCTACATGAGCTTGGCAACGTCTTTCAGTGCGAGGGTGATCTCAACGCCGCGGAGCAGAATCTTGAAGAGGCCCTGAGCATGAAGAGGGCTGTGTATGGAGACGCTGCGCACGAGCAAGTCGCCAAGACTCTTCATGAGCTTGGCACGGTGCGTAGGAACATGGGCCTGTTCAAGGCGGCGGAGGGCAACTTGGCAGAGTGCCTGGCGATGAGGCGGACCCTGCATACGGCTGCGGACGAGGAAATCGCCATGACGCTTCACTCGCTTGGAAAAGTCTTCTGGCAGCTGGGCAATCTGGATTCTGCGGAGAAGAGCTTGACCGAATCCCTTAGCATGATGTGGAAAGCATTGCCAAAAGGTCGTGGTGATTCCCTCAAGCACCTGATTGCAGACGCGCAGAGTTCGCTCGGCAAAGTCTTCCTGCAAAGGGGAGATCTGGAAGCGGCTGAGGCGAGCCTGACAGAATCCCTCAGAAAGCAGCGGGCTCTCTATGGAGATGGTGCGCATTTAGAGGCTGCCTTCCTGCTTCACAGGCTCGGGTTAGCTGTGAAGGAGAAGGACGCTGAAGGCGCCGAGAAGGACTCCTAAGCAGCTTGCGTTTGTCGTTCCTCGCTTTGGGCCTGGGGTGGGCCTTAAACGAGGCCCCCCTCAGCAGAAAACACTCCTGTGTCCCGAAACCCAAAGCCTGATCGGTTCAGGATGCAGACGGGCGCGGTTGCAGGGTCATCTTCCTCAGTGATACTCGGCTGGAGCTTTTTCATCATGAAGACATAAACACACACACACACACAGACACCTTTGTGCCTTGGTGTGTGTATATATAGATACATATATATATATATATATTTGTATATTTATACATGCGGGCACGCATGTTCTTTTCATCTATCTATCTGTCCAGCCATTTAGCTGTCTCATATATAAAAACAGTTTTGTGTTGATATACCTATCTGTCTGTCCATGTATCAAGGTTTCTATCTGTTTAGCTGTGTATTTGTTTCTGTCGGTAGCAACATACTTGTCTATTTCATTTCCATATGCATCCGTTGAGCTTGTCGGTATGAACATCAAGGCATAATCATAGAAGAAGATTTAACAAACCAAACGCCCACATTTATAGATCTCTTCTCACAGTGGTGTATCGGTTGTGTTGAAGGCTGCCGGTTCGAGCACTAGGGCCAGGTTTTGGTAACCCTAAACCCTAAACCCTAGACCGTAAACCGTAAACCCTAAACCCTAAACCCCGAACCATAAGCATGCACTCTAGTGCCACCAAACCCTAAGCCAACCCTAAGCCAACCCTAAACCCTAAACCCTAAACCCCAAATCCTAAACCCTAAACCCTAAACCCTATTTCAGTAGTGATAGTAGGGTTGGCCTGCCCTTTGTCACTTCCAACCTGCTCAGTGCGGCCAGCCCGCAGGGGTCTTGAGAGCTTCTGGGTGCTAATGGGGTTTGGGGTTTAGGGTTTAGGGTGGGGCGGCTGTGGACACCTGCCTGCGCCCCCTGAAGAGGTCGCCGGGACCCTCCACGATCTTGGCAAAGTGTGCGCGGAGAAGGGCGACTTGGAAGGGGCCGAGAAGAACCTCTCGGAGTCCCTGAGCATGAAGCAGGCCGTCTTTGGAACGGCTGGGTATTACCATGTCGCCGACACCCTCCATGAGTTGGAGCAAGTTCGTGAGCGCAAGAGACACTCTGAAACCGAGCTTCCCGTCATTTGCTCCACGGGACACACCGATGAGAAGGACTACTGACTAAAGCAGATCTGGTGCCTGTTTATGCTTCTATTTTGACCTAGGCCACATTAATCGGGGTGACACACCTCGAGCAGGAACTGGCCGTTTCAGGTTCTCAATGCTGTCCCGAAACCCAAGTCCTGTTCGTTTCAGGACGAGCTGGACCGCAGTTCGAAGGCCACCTTGCTCAATGATACTCATCGTTTTCTGTATATGTATGTATGCATACATCCACGCATACGTGTATGGTCCATGTACTTGTTGATCCGTCCATCTTGCATCTACGTTCAGATTACAGGGAGCAATGATGGGGTTGGCATGCCCCTTGTGTCATGCCACTAGAGGTGTTGAGTGCGCCTGCTGGTTGCTGTGATAGCTTTTAACCGTAACCATGCTCCGAAAAGAACCGTTTGGTGTGTGGGGGGGTGCCTTCCAGGTACTTGAACGGGTCGCCGACACCCTCCATGAGTTGGAGCAAGTTCGTGAGCGCAAGGGACACTCTGAAACCGAGCTTCCCGTCAACTGCTCCACGGGACACGCCGATGAGAAGGACGACTGCCTACAGCAGAACTGGTGCCTTTCATGCCTTCATGCCTCTGAGTTTGACCTAGGCCACATTAAACCGGGTGACACACCTCGAGCAGGAACTGGCCGTTTCAGGTTCTCAATGCTGTCCCGAAACCCAAGTCCTGTTCGTTTCAGGACGAGCTGGACCGCAGTTCGAAGGCCACCTTGCTCAATGATACTCATCGTTTTCTGTATATGTATGTATGCATACATCCACGCATACGTGTATGGTCCATGTACTTGTTGATCCATCCATCTTGCATCTACGTTCAGATTACACGGAGCGATGATGGGGTTGGCATGCCCCTTGTGTCACGCCATTAGAGGTGTTGAGCGCGCGTGAATGCTGGTTGCTGTGATAGCGTTTATCCGCGGGGTGCCTTCCAGGTACCTGAAGAAGTCGCCGGCACCCTCCCTGATCTTGGGAAAGTTGATGGGCAGAAGGTTGATTCGGAAGCGACGGAGAAGCTCAAAGAGGCCCTTGGCATTGGCACCTTCAATCCGAACTGCACGCTCGACGGGAAATTATGGCTCATGCGTCAGGTTTTGAGTGGAGCTCCTGTGTACCAGCATGGGCACAAGGGATACCCGGAAACGGAATGCCCCTTCGCACGCTCAGCGGGACATGGTGCCCACTTGAACTGGCACGTGAAACCTTACGGTGCGAGCTCACGAGGAGGATGCTGACTCGCTGACCTTCTTCACTGCCACCAGAAGAGCGTGACGACTCGAAAGCCATGGAGTTCGACTTAATTTGCAGGGTCTCAGATGCTGCAGGCAAACATGCAGGCAAGTAGACGGCCGAATGACACTTGCATGCTCTTAATTCGCCCGGCAAAATGTGAGCTAATCTGGAGTGCAGCGCACGAGGTGCGAGGCCAAAGCGGCAAGGCTGTGCAGCTCGAAGCTTCTGCGTTTCCTGAGATTGGGGGAGCTTGGGGATCATCAGGGTTCAGGTGCATTGAGTTCAGGGGAGACTCTTCCGGGCACTAAGACTCGTGGGCTTCCGTTTGCTGCAGTAGTACTGTTTCTGAGGGGCTGGATGTCTGATATGTTGTTTTTGGATGAACAAGTCAAGGGTCTGGAGGGGCAAGAGCTGTAGTACTCTGCCTTACAGGAGTTTGACCTTCCTCCACATATCATCTTCGCACAGCAACGCTGCTATGGTGTTTCAGCAGCACCCATACTCAAGTTCACACCTGTTCTCCAGGTCTCGCTGCCTTGGCCAGAAAAAGCTTTCTCTTGCTCAGCGATGGCTTCCACAGCCCCAGCTTCGGAGCTGTGGCTGCTTCACGCCGTACGTGGACGGGCCATGCCCCACACAGGACGTAATTAAGGAGCTCCGCATCGAAAGATCGGCTGGGCGATGCATCCCTCGACGAGATCAGCGCCTCGGGACCTCGCGCGTATCGTGGGTTCTTCCAAGTTGTCCTCGGTCGCCGTGACTGTGACGCTCTTGAGAGCGACCGCTGGGGGCTGCAGGGATCTCCGTCTCGGGCTTCGTGGTGTCTGGCTTTGACTTGGCTTCGTCTCTTGAGCTCCTTGGTCTCTGACGTCACCTGGCCCTCACGGTCCCTGCCGGGGCTGCAGTTCCTGCCCTTCACTTGCGGGCACGGGGCCTTCTCTTCCCTCGAATACGAGCGCTTTGGGAGAAGAGAGCTGTTATGAGCGGAGTTTTGGAGTGCGCAGATCGAAGAACGACACGCGATCTTTCCCGGGGCAAGCGCCTTGAATAACAGGCGACCGACTTATCTAGACGTGTAAGCTGATCTCATTGTCGAGAAGTCCAACAGTGCCTTCATGGAAGTGCACATCACGACACCATCCATCTTCAGCCCAGTAACGTTGTCACTGATATTATGATTCCTTTTTCGAAAAATCCATTGCGCGCAACAATTGGGGCAATTTTGGCATTTCCTCTGTATACGCATATCACTTACATTCATTCGTGCACACGCGCTTCTTCACTCCCTGTTGCATATCCTGTGCTGCTGGTAACAACATTGACGGGTGGGGTTATCCGAGCTATCCGGTTTTTAATTGGATTCAAGTATAGGGGGAATACAGAGGTTCGGCGTTCAATATGGAGAAAATAGAGGTTTCCTTCTCAACATGTTGATCTGTTGTGCCCATTTCCTGGGGGCGAGAGCAGCCCAACTAGAGAAGGGTGAGACCCTAAACCCTAAACCCTAAACCCTAAACCCCAAACCCTAAACCCTAAACCCTCAACCCTAAACCCTGAACCCTAAACCCTAAACCTAAACGGGCCAGGGCAAAAGCAAAGTAGGCCAACAGTGCAATCTCATGCTTGGGACGTGCCTTAGGCATTCCGCTGCGACAAGGGCTCAAATCATCGATTTGATCATCGGCCCTAAAGGGTGCATGCTTATGGTTCAGGGTTTAGGGTTTAGGGTTCGGGTTTAGGGTTTAGGGTTTAGGGTTTAGGGTTTTATGCTTTAAGTTATCCTGAAGCCACACTTGTCAAGGGCTCTGCAGTCATGTCCCCACAGATTCATTTCTGGGAGGCAAGGCGCAGTATGCCTATGTCAATTGGACCCCCTAAAGGTGGTAACAGCGATGCGGCGAAGGTTGTTCACATCATGACCGGCCGGCCCTTGAAGTTACCAGGCGAGTCTCAAGTTTTGGGACTGTTGTATGTGACTGCGTGGCTGATTGTAGAGGATGTGTCTTTGTGAGTCAGGTGGCTAACGTCAGATAGGTCGGCATCGAGCTGTAAGCGTTGTTGGTCTTTGGGCTGCTCAAGCCAGTTTCCTGCATGCTATGCAACTAAGCTTCAACTGTGCAGTTGCTTGTGTATGCTCAAACTCCGCAGTTGACTGCAGATGCTTGATCACTATGCAGGCTCGTTGCTTAGCGGCCACGCCATGTTTTTTTGGGAAATGTCAAGCCAGCATCTTGTGCACGCACGCAAGACAAGTATCTGACAAGTATCTGACAAGTATCTGACAAGTATCTGACAAGTATCTGAACTGACATCAAGGCCCCATTTGACTCGAAACGCTTTGCTTTGCAGTCCCTCTTGCTTCTTGCGGAAGCTTCTGCCTGGAGTGTGTGCCCCGTGCTTATGGCGGATCACGAGTACCGCAGTTTGGCCACGCTGGAGGCAGATCACAGTCGTTCTGCAAGCATGGTTGGGGGGTTTAGGGTTTAGGGTTTAGGCTTTAGGCTTTAGGGTTTAGGGTTAGGCAGAATGTTTGCCAGGCGGTCCCCAGGATATTCAGCATCCATGAGGCGGAACAGCAAGGGCTGGGATGTCGGGTTTCCTTGCTCGATAGCCTCTTGGTGTGGACATGATTGGTGTGCTAGTGTGCTTGTTGTGAACTGAGACGCTTTGTACATGGAGCTATGGAGTCATCGCGAAGTAGCGTCGTTCTTGATGTGCAAAGATTTGTTCACACGCCCGTTCTTGCTTTGAAAATCCAGGTGCCTCGCTCCACGTCTTTCGCAGGCAGTGGGATGGCAATCAAAGAAATCGGGGAAGAATCGGACCGCTGAAGGTGTAAGGTTCCTCATGCTGTGGGACGTGGGGCAGTCGCCACGTTGACTTGAAAGTAGCCCGAAACCCTGCACCCTAAACCCTAGACCCTAAACCCTAAAACTCTAAACCCTAAACCCTCTTCATGTCCCTTTTCGTGCCTTTTGGTAGCAACTCGGCGAGGCGCCCAGGAGGAGTGCCCCACGGCCTCCCGATCCACTTCGCCCGAGCCAGGCTTCGCTGTGCGACCCCAGAAAATAGCCATAAATTCCCAGGATGGGCATGACACAAATTGTAGGGTTTAGGGTTTAGGGTTTAGGGTTTAGGGTGTAGGGTTTAGGGTTTAGGAATGACACCCAGAACAGCACCGGTGAAACTCTCGAAGAGTGTCAGGATGTCCACCCCTGGGTTGTCGCCAGGCTCCCCACGGATGGAAGTTTGCCGGGTCAGCTCGGCCAAACGCCTAGGCTGGACATTTGTCGGTGGAAGAAGTTGAGAGCAGTTTGCTTCGCTGCAGAGTCAGTTTAGGGTTTACGGTTTGAGTTTAGGGCTAGGGTTTAGGGCTAAGGGCTTAGGATGGTTTAGGGTTCAGGTTTTAGGGTTTAGGGTCCTAGGGTTCTAGGACTCCAGGACTTTGTGGAGCGAAGGTTGGGGGGGGGGGGGGGTGCCTTGGTGCTGCCAGGTGATGATGTTGTGCATCTTGAGGAGCGCACAGCAAACACCCAGAGCGGTGTGGAGGCTCTGGCTGTAGTCGGTAGGCGGTCGCAACCCTTCTCTTCTTTTAGGGTTTAGGGTTTAGGGTTTAGGGTTTAGGGTTTAGGGTTTAGGGTTTAGGGAGGGGCTACGCGGAGTTGTGGTTCTTCACTTAGGTCACATGCGCTCTCACGCTCGGCTGAGTTCCCATGTGTTTCCCCAGCTGGAGCCAAGTCCTCGCCATCAGCACGGCCCGGAGTTCCATTTCCTATTGAGAAACAAGGGTGCCCAGATACAGTCTTTACTGTTGAAGGTCAGACAGCCGACTTGGAAGGATAGGTGGCTTGCTTGCAGGTTCAGGCAAAGACTCCGAACCGTGGAACATCGTGGAACCGTCATTGTTTCCAGGGTGGAGACATAGTCCTTTTTACAAGCACCTGTAATCTTCTAATCCAAGCCCATGATTCCCAAATTCTTCTCTGCTACACGGGCATGTTCTCAGGCCAAGATGCGTCTCTACCTTCGTGATACTTCCTACTATTTCCTACTGGAAGCTGCTTCTGTACGGTTCAGTTTGGATCCTGCACTCGCTTTAGCTCTTGCCGACGAGGCCTTTCCGGACTTCCCCCAGGAGTTCGATCCCCTGGCCGGTAGCCGCAGTCGCACCAGCCGCCACGGCAGCGAGAGGAGCAGGCTTGCGGCTGGTGTTGGGACACCGGCAAAAATGCGTTGGTTGCCATGCCGCCTCTTCTTTCAGGGTCGAGCTGGATGATATCTTCAGCGCCTTCAAGACGTCGGAAGAGTTGCAGATGCTCGACAGGTGGGACTGTGTACGAATCCTGTTTCCAGCAAATCTTCACTTGGCTGCCCAGACCCTGCACACCCCCAGCCTCGACCTTCGGGCCCTGCCAGGCAGCCGCTGTATGTCGAGAAGCTGCCAGCTGCGGGGCGCCAAGCATGACAAGTTTGATGTTGTACCCTGAGGCACGGGGCATGGCTTCAGCTACAAGTCTTGCTTCAGCTTAGCCTGACAGAGGCCGACATCCAGAACAGCTTGGATCAGATCTTCCCCATGCCGCCCAAGGATGACCCCGACACAAAGAAGCAGGTGCCAAGTGGTCAAGAGTTGGGCAAGCTCCGAAGCACGAGCCCGTGACATGTGACATGTTAGCGTCATGGGAAGCCGTGACACCCGGGGCCCCAGCAGCGACAGGGCTGTGGTGAATGGACTTGACAAGGTGCCGGCGCACCTCATCGCGGAGCTTCCGCAGGCTCTGGCAGCGTCACGGCATGTTATGGCCACCGGCCCAAAGGTGGTCGTGTTTGCATGTACTTGATGTGGCTCAAATTTGAGCCTTAAGCCAGCTCTTACGTGACTTCCACAACCCTCACCTTCCCCAGCTGATGCTAGCTGTTAGCTTTCGTCCTCTGTATCAGAAGGCCGGCCACTCGTAGCTTTGGTTGGCCGGGCCCCCCCCCCCTACGTTTGCCCACCCGCCCACACAGCAAGGGCAACAAACAATGCCCCCCCCCCAGCAGTGATGTGATCAGCAGTGTAGTTTGTTTCCAAATTTCACACGCTCAATGTCATGAGGACCTGGTGTGCTCACCGGCGGGTTGTTCTTTGTGAGAGAGAGAGAGAGAGAGATAGAGAGATAGAGAGAGAGAGAGAGAGCCAGAGCCGGGTTATTGTGGGTCTACCGTGGTCTGCCTCAGCTGCCATCGAGCTAACATGACCTGCCTTGCTGTCAGGCCTTCTCCTTACAGCCCCTGACAGAAGACTGCAACTTGGATGCCCCATCCATCCCATGTTCCTTGGAGAAGGCGGCCGCAGTCTTGCAGCAGCGTTCTGTGTAATATAGCGCAGTGAGAAGACCTTTCTCCCAAACCCTGAACCCTGAACCCTTAAACCCTTAAACCCTTAAACCCTTAAACCCTGAACTCTGAACCCTAAACCCTAAACCCTAAACCCTAAACCCGAAACCCGAAACCCGAAACCGCAGAGAGGCGGCGGCGAGGCCGCGCCACCTGGAGGCCACGTTGCCCCGCCACCTGGAGGCCGCGCTGCCGCGCCACCTGGAGGCTGCGTTGCCCGCGGAGGTCGGGGTCCGAATTAGGGTTTAGGGTTTAGGGTTTGTAGCCCTTCCTTGCTTTTTGGTTTTGGGGTGCGTAGGGATTTGGAATGTTTGGGCGTCTGGGGTTTACAGGTTTAGGAGTTTAGGGTTGTAGAAGGTTTATATTTTGGGTTCAGTGCTGGGGGTTCCAAAAGAATGTTGAGAGCATGTTCGGGTGGGGCTGGGGGGCGGATGTTGGAATCTGTCGCGCTGAGCATCTTGTGTTTGTCCTCATGAGACTGCTGCGTTGTATGCTTAGAAGTGTTTGCTTGACATGCTGCATTTGTGCAGTGCTGAAGGCTGCACAGGGCTCACACAGGAGGGGCCGCAGAGCCTTGGCAGCCACAGAAAGCGCGTAGAGCGCGCAGAAGAAGTGAGCTTAAGCTGCGCGTAGTGCATCTTCAGCACCTAGAGACTGATTGTAATGATTTATAATGCAATATTCAAGACAGTATTTTATTGTATATGACATATTGTATAGTATACAATATGCAGTATCTGGTCAGAGTCAGCGTCTCATGGTACCTTGGCTTTTGCAGCCCATGAGCTCAGGCTTGGATGCTTCCATACCGGCTGGCCCCGTGGTGCACTCGAACGACGCTTGCGACATTGTTTGCGTTTCAATGCATCCTCGCGTGTTGCCGGGAGGTAAACCCTAAACCCTGACCCTAAACCCTAAACCCTAAACCCTAAACCCTAAACCCTAAACCCTAAACCCTAAACCCTAAACCCTAAACCCTAAACCCTAAACCCTAAACCCTAAACCCTAAACCCTAAACCCTAACCCTAAACCCTAACACCCTGGACCCTAGACCCTAAACCCTGAACCCTAAACCCCAAACCCTGCCAGGATCCTCCTGGCTGCGTTGCCCAGCCCCATGGTACGTGCAGCTCCCAGACTGGGTTCCAAGCTGTCACAGCTGTTGAACAATGTTGAAGCACACCAGCATTTGCAAGGGCTTGAGATGTTGTCTGCCACAAAAGCACGAAAAAGTCCCACTTGTCTTTGGGTGCATCCGATGCTGAGGCTCTTTGAAGGTCCTCCGTGCGAGCAGGAGCCAACAACAGAGGTAAGAATGGAGTCCGACGTGTAAGACTCGACCCGATGTATGTCCCATCAGCATTCGAGAGATCCGATGGCCGCACAGGATCGTCTTTCGGCGGCAAGACGGGGCCGCAGCACGGATGACTCGTCGCGCGATGTGAGGCGGGGCGCGGTTGGTGCGGTGGATGGTGGGCGGTGTGTCGTTGGGGAGCTTCAGGACTTGAGAGACTTGAAGCTTGAACACACACACAAAATGAACATGTATATATATATATATACATATATAAACATGTTGTGTATATATGTTTTCATATATGTATATGTGAGGGTTTATGAGGGCATGTGAAGAAAGAATGACATCGTTTTGCGCGACGTTTCTTCGATCCTCAGTGCTCCAGGCAGCGGTCCTGGCATGTTGACTGTCAGCCGCAGCCAGTTCCACAGGCACCCGAATCTGAGTCCAGAGCCGTGCGTGATGCGCAGAAAGCCGAAGGCTTTAGGGTTTAGGGGTTTAGGGTTTAGGGTTTAGGAATAGCAGGCTGGTGTTCAACAACGCAGAATGGGGAACGGGCCTTTGATTCATGCAATGCCTGTGTTCCAAGCCCTTTAGTCCTTTGAGCTCGCACCTGATTGCCACTGGCAGGATCTTCTGCAGCTGCAGCCCATGCGGGACATTCCGCTGGTCCAGCAGGAAGAATGTGAAGCATTGCTTGTCTGATCTTCTCTGACAAAGGGACTGAAGGGGTGCTTGTGGTGCAACGTCTGGTCAGGTGCAGGAGCTTCAGCTGCAACCACTGCAGACCATCCCGCCTGCTGCCCCACAGCCGGAAGTGCAGGCCACCGCATGAACCCGTGCCTCGTGAAAGCTGCAGAATTCCAGCGCCAGGCCAAGAGCGACGTCGCCTACCAACGCTTCATGCGGGACGGGGACAACTTGCTTGCCTGGGACATGCCTGGGCAGGCCCTTGCCCATCCTGATGTGCTGGCTTTTGCTGGCATCCCTCGACTGGCAAGCGCGATTCCAGCTCGGCTCACGTGGCAGGCTTATCTCAAGTACTGCGAGGCCAACAGCCAACACGATGGCCTATGTGGTCACAACTCAGGCGAGGCCCTGACTGAACCTTCATGAATCATCACTTTAAAGTTAGTAAACAAGATATGGAGCAATGAGCTCCAGAATGAGCTCCCCAAAAGACGGCGTGTCGTGCCAGGTGATGCCTATCGAGGGATGGCCCGGAGCCTTTCCGCGGGGGCAGGCCCGGCCCAGTTGCTGTCACAGACGACCTCTCTCCCCTGCTCCGACACTCCGACACTCATCTCCAGGCTTTCCAGGCCTCGTCTCCGGCCTGCCAAACACCGCAGAGGAGAAGATGCTACGACAGACAAGCAGCACAGCACAGACCCAAGCCCAGACCGATTCTCAGAGAGGAACCCACACAGAAACACAGGCAGAAACAGACCCGAAACCCTAAACCCCTAAACCCCTAAACCCCTAAACCCCTAAACCCCTAAACCCCTAAACCCCTAAACCCTAAACCCCTAAACCCCTAAACCCTAAACCCAGAGAGAGTTATCGGACGAGGAGCGCCTGGACCTGGGCATGAACATGTTGGAGCTGGGGCCCCAGGTTGCCCTCCCATGACATCTCTATGACCTGCTGGCCTGCTACCCTTCTTTTAGGTTTAGGGTTTAGGGTTTAGGGTTTAGGGTTTAGGGTTTAGGGTTTAGGGTTTAGGGTTTAGGGTTTAGGTGCTTTCTTCTGCATTCTGGCTGCGGATCTCTCGAAGGTTGGCGGTGCAAGCAGGCTCCACCAAGCTTGGCGATGCACGCAGCGACCCCAAGCTGGAGAATCTGCGGAAGCGGCTCGGCTTTGGAGTCATGGATTGCCAAAAAAACAGGGAACGAAGTCTGAGGTGCAGAAGCTGTGGAAGTAAAGGTACGCCTTCCCGTAACAATTAATGTCAAGTATGCATCGCAGGCGCAGTCGCAGTCGCAGGTCTTCTTCATAGGAGGTGGTAGTAGTGCTAGTAGTGGTCGTAGTGGTGGAGGAGCGGTAGCAGGGTCTTGGAAGAAAGATGTGCTCATGATACTACACGATGTATGCAAGCTTATTCGATTTGGTTTGTCGAGCTCCTGCTTCCCTAACAGATCTACCACAGGCTGTGGATGGGACACACAGGCTTTAGGGTTTAGGGCTTAGGGCTTAAGGTTTAGGGTTCAGGGAGTTCCATAAAGAAGTTCCCCGGACATGCAGGCTACGATCGGCGCGCTTCATGGCCTTAATGGACCGACTGGGCAACAAAGAATTGGGGCGTTTCCGAGAAGTATTCCGCGCTTTTTGGAGGGTCCTGTTTAAGGGGGGTTTCTGCTGCAGTCAGAAACTCCCCTGACGGGTTCAGACATTGCAGGCCACTTGTGTAAGGACCCAAACGCAGCATGCAGCAGATGTACTGAAAAGACTCCGCTGAAGAGCAATGACTTAGAGTTACTGGCCAAAGTCAGGTATTATATGTATACATATAGATATAGATATGGAAATAGATATAGATATAGATATAGATATAGATATGTATTATTGACATATAGAATGTTCTATGTATATATATCTATATGTATGTATGTATGTATATATATATGTGTATACTATATATAGAATAGCAGGCAGTTCAGGGTGTACTTGCTCGGTGAGGAGCAGGTCCCGGCGACGGGTTTGGATGCCTTGGCGGTGGCAGCTCCTGGACTGCAGCTCTCCCTCCCCACAGGCCCCCCCAAAAGAATATCTAATGTTTCGAATATTGGATATAAAGATGTATCTGTATATTACATATATATATATACACATACAAATAGTATATATATATATATGTGTAAAACAGAATTTTCTGTAGTAAGGACTCCAGTAAGGTACCCCGAATTTCGCAAACCCCACCTTGAGCTCTCAGCCCCGGACCCTTCTCAAGCTTTCGCGAACTCAGGCGTCTGCCGGCGTTGCGGCGATGGCAGCGGCCGCAGGCTGGAAGTCCGAGCGGCAACAAGGGGCTTCGTAGTGCTCGGTGTGGTTTTTGGCAATACGAGCCTTCGCTCTTCGCGGCAAAGAAGAGGGATTTAGGGGGCTTCTAGTGGTCTGGCTCTCCCAGAACCCTTCCCTGCCACGCAACAAGGCATCCAGCCTGTTGCGCTAGTGCCGGTGCCGTCCGTGCCCATGGTGTCGCTTGGCTTTATGCAGTCATCAAGTCATCACGAGGGAAAAATTTGAAGACCTGTAGGGCAAACGTCTTCGTTGTCATCGCTATTCGTGGCATCTCGTGATTCTTGAAGCATGCGTGCGTTCCGCGCATCAGGCCTTATGCGCCGGAGCCGGCGCCCACAACCGTCTTCCTGGATCCTTCTCAGGCCAGGCTCGGAGCTGAGCTCTGAGGTTAGGCCCGGGTGGCTAAGAATTCTACAAGCAGGGAGGTGCTTTGCTTGTTATTGATTCATGCGGCCCTCTGTCTTGGGGGCTTGGGCTTCTTGATCTCCGCCTTTTGCGGGCAGCGCTCGTCAGGCTGCAAGCCTCGTCGAGGTGCCCCGGCCAGCGGGAGAGCTCGCTGCCATCCGAGAGGTCCAGCCGGCCCAGCCGGTCCAGGCGGTCCAGGCGGTCCAGCCGGTGCAGCCGGTCCAGCAGCCACAGGACCCGGGACGTGAGATCGGAGCAAGGCATGTCAAAGGCACTTCGCACACAGCTTGCTTCATTCCTTCCGCTAGCGGGCAGCGTTGAGGAGGAGTCGCAGGACGAGGAGGACGAGGATGACGAGGATGAAGAGGAGGAAGACGAGGAAGCCGATGGTGACGGGGAGGATGAGGACGAGGGTGACGGCGAGGAAGACTCAGACGAGGAAGGCGGGGGCTGCTCTTCCCGGAGCTCAACCGTCGAGCCATCTCCATCTATCTCCCCCGAAATCGGAAGCTGCTGCTCAGGCGAGAAGGTGGAGGAAGCTGACAGCGAGGATGAGGCAAGAGACTATGGGGGGATTTTTGGCTTCAGCTTTCGATCTCTGGATGTCTTTCGATGTCTCCCTAAACCCTAAACCCTAAACCCTAAACCCTTTTTGTTTTCATGTGCAATGGGAACCAGGCCTCCGACTCGGACGCCTCGGCCAATGACGAGGCGCCTTTCATCTGGCTCTCCGCGGACGTTAGACTCGTCAGACTCGCCAGAGTCTCCCAAATTCAAGTTGTGGCCTCAACCATGAGAAATAAGTCTGGATCGTCTGCGCTGTCTGCATCATGGCCGCGCAACCGCCTCATTTGCGAATCCGGAGCAAAAACTCTCAAACGGACATTGAATCTTCCCGATGCAACCCCGACGCCCCTTAAACGGCCGAAACCCTAAACCCCATCCCCTAACCCCTAACCCCTAACCCCTAACCCCTAACCCCTAACCCCTAACCCCTAACCCCTAACCCCTAACCCCTAACCCCTAACCCCTAACCCCTAACCCCTAAACCCTAAACCCTAAACCCTAAACCCTAAACCCTAAACCCTAAACCTCCTCAACTCCACAGGGCGCCGCCTCCGAGAGTGACGCGGAGGGCCCCGGCTGGGCCGAGTCGCTGCGGAACCTCTTCGGCTGGTAGCGGGGCGCCAAGATGCGCCCCAAGGATCCCCGGTTTAGGGTTTAGGGTGTAGGGTTTAGGGAGGTTGCTGTCGGGATGGGGGATGGCAAGGAGTGGTTCCGAGGCTTTGGGCACGTCTCGCAGACGTTTCTCAGGGTTCGAGTTGAACATTTAGACCCAGCAGGGGGCCCGGGGGGGGCTTTAGGGTTTAGGGTTTAGGGCGTAGGGGTTTAGGGTTTAGGGTTTAGGGTTTAGGGTTTAGGGTTTAGGGCTTAGGGGTTTAGGGTTTAAGGGGGATGACCTGCAGCTCGTGGTCTCCTTCCTGCGTACCTGTCATGGGACGCAGTGAGATTCGACGCTGCCGAGGCTGGACACAAAGCCCACTGCCAAAGCTGCCAAAGACTCGACAGCTCATTTTCCAAGCTCTGGTGTTCTTCTGCTCAGTTTCACCTTGCATCGGTTGCAGTAGGTCGGAGAGGCAGCAATCATCCAAGGCAAGTGGCAAGTGTTTGCACACTGCTGGGGAGATGTCCCGGAATGAAAGAAGACGTGGCATGCCAAGATCTCCGCAATGCATGGATAATGGCCACACCATTCGAGGGACAAGCAGCTGCAAGAAACGCGAGAAGCCTAAAAACATTTCTATTTCGGCAGCTGTTCGGCCCTTGACTTTGATCAGGTATTATGGTAGCACCCTGATCCGCTTGTTTATAGCCCGGCTGTACACACCAGTGCGTGCCGCACTTTGGATTATCAGGGCTCAGGGTCTGTATTCTGTGGGGTCCAAAGGAGATGGCTTAGAGTGCTCTTGCGTAAAGACACCTTACCCTCAACGACTCAAGGTGTATTTCAACTTGGCAGGTCTCCTGGTACCTTCGACATTTTTAGGATGCAAGATGTTGGTGTGTGCAAGCCCCTGCATAGTTGCTCCAGAATTACTCTGATAGCTTTTGCGCCCAAGGGCACGGAATCCAGCTGACTCCCGTTCGGTGCCTGATGTCTGCCTCGCGGCATTCCGAAAGCCTGCAGTGCAAAGTTGAACCAGGTACATGTGCTGTCAGGCTATCTCGCCGCGCAGCACCGTTCTTTATTGTTTGTGATACTTCCATATGCAGTTGGCCCGATAGGTCTCAGCTCGAATTGAGACGTCTGTCTTGGAAAGAATGGCGCCCGGTACGGGCTGGGAAGGCCCCGCAACCCCAAATCTCTTCACCTGAAGTCCTACGCGCATGAGGTGTAGAACATCTGTGCATCTGGGGCTGTGCCGACCCTCCCCAGGCCTTTAGCGAGGTTGCTGCGTGCAAGCTGGATCCGGTTCAAGAAGCAGAAGCACCGCAGCATCTCACATGCAACAACTCACCCAGAGTACATGCTCTCGCCGAAACCCTTGGCACATCAGTCGCTGAATACACCGCGCCGATGTCAGTCCAGCTTGCCAGGAAATTCAGCCGGCTTTTCGTCTTGGCTTGCGGTCTTAAAAGAAGAGACAGAGCCGTGCTCGTTGTTACACCCCCCACACCCCAAGCCGCGGGAGCAAAGCCTGACGTCAGGAGGCACTTGCAGGGCACTTGCGATTCGCGTCCTGCATATTTGTGCCCTGCTAAGCCGAGGTTCGAACCAGAGCTAGCTCGCAAATCGACCCCCCCTGTGACCCTCGCAGCAGTCTGCCAGGCCACCGCCCGGTTGCGCTGCCAGAGGCCTTCGTTGAAGGGTCTGCAGTTTGTACGGCTTTAGTCGGCTTAGTAACCCTAAACCCTAAACCCTAAACCCTAAACCCGACATCCTACAGCCTAAACTATTGTAGCGGTCGCAAGGCAGGGGTGTCCCTTGCAGTCCTCGAGGCCCGAATGTTTGTGGGTCCTGGAACAGATTCGCCGCCACCCAGGGTAGGGTTTAGGGGGTTAGGGGTTTAGGGTTTAGGGTTTAGGGGTTTAGGGTTTAGGGTTTAGGGTTCAGGGTTCAGGGTTTAGGGTTCAGGGTTTAGGGTTCAGGGTTTAGGGTTTAGGGTGTACTTGCTGCTGCTGTGTAGGGAGCGCAGCCAACGAAACCTGTAAAAATCCGAGCCAGCAACCCGTGGCGAGCCCGTAGACCTGCGGCAGCCTCATCAGTTGTTCCCATTAGAGCAGCATAGTCTCTTGTAGTATATATATATATATATATATATTGTAGCATACATTGTAGTATGTCTATGGAAGCATACGAACGTGTATTGACAAGCATTTTCTAATGGATTCACGTCTTTGGAAGTATAGTGAAGAGTATTCAAGTACATTAAGGCCTATTCAAGTACATTGAAGTTCAGCACAAAGTATATCGTTGTATAGTAGTGCCACCCGATCTGGCCAGTCTGCTCCCTTTGCTGTCGCGGCAGCACCGAGGCTGGGGCTTCTGTGCGGCCTTGATCTACGATAATCGGCTGTAGTACAGAATAGTGTGCTGCAACATACCAATATACATACTGGATACTATAGCACGCTCAATCAGATTCTCACATGCTCTAGCTGTACTAGGTTCGAGCACACTACAATAGAAAGCGATGCACTGTCTTGCTCGAAGTTTTAAGGGGCTTTCTGGGTTTCAAGGCGTCGTGGGAATCCAGTCCGGAGTCCGGAGTTCTTTCTCAACTCTTCAGGTCCTTGCCTGTGAGAGCGTTGTATGGATGTTGTTCTCATGCTTCGCCAGGGCTTAGGGTTTAGAGTTTAGGGTTTAGGGTTTAGGGTTTCTGATCACCTTGGCTTTCTTCCTAGTCCGGTGTATTTGCTTCTTCACTCGCTTTTTCACTTTTGGGTGCTGGGCTTGTGCAGTTCACGTCGTTGGATGTAGGGAGAAGAGGAGCTAACGCTCGGTTAACAGAGTGACTCGATGTCGGTGATGGCCCTTGAAACACTTCCTGCCTGCAGCCATTGCTGCCTCTCATGTCTCCCCCTGGCTTGCGACAAGGGGTTTAGGGATTAGGGTTTAGGGTTTAGGCTTACTGGTAGGGGTTTGTAGAGGGCGGGGTTAAAGCTGCGGGTCTCAACCCAAGCCTTAGCTGGCTGGCACAAAGCTTATTCCTCACCAGCAGCGATTTCGGATGGACTGCTCATATAGCCATGCTCGTATAGCCAGTGCAAGCGCTTCTCTCACTCTCTTTCATTTTTTTTTTTGTCTCTCTGCGCGCTGCTGTGCTTAAAGCGGGCCATGGATGCCGCCAGTTTTGTGGAGCTGCCAGACATACAGGAGCCAATGCTCGAAGAGGCCATGCTCTGGAAGGGCTAATCAGGGCTTCAGGTGGGGGGGGTATAAGTTAGCAGAGCACTTGGACCAGCGAAGGTTGCATATCGCAGATGTAGACAGTCCCTAAACCCTAAACCCTAAACCCTAAACCCTAAACCCTAAACCCTAAACCCTAAACCCTAAACCCAAAACCCTAAACCCTAAACCCTAAACCCCGTCATGGGCCTGATGCAGCAGCCGGCACTGCAAGGTGCGACAGACCTGGGGAGCTCTCCAGCGTCGGCCGAATGTCGCGAAGGACCTTCTGAGATCGCTCTCGGAGGCCAGGGGTCTGAGATCCAAAGCCTGAGCTCCCTAAACCCTAAACCCTAAACCCCAAACCCCAAACCCTAAACCCTAAACCCTAAACCCCAAACCCCAAAGCCTAAGCCCTAAACCCTAAACCTGACATCTGGCGCCTCGGAGTGTGATAGAATGTGCTTTCAGATAATGCAATGTTTTGCTATCTTCTACAATATGATGTAATCTTATATAGTATTATGTCGCATTATATAATATCAGAAAGACCCTTTCTAATATTGTAGAATGTTATATAATACAAAGCGTCGCTGGAGCTTGAGAGACTCCGAGAAGCCTTGGGAGGCCTTGCCGACCACGCTGCACATGTTCAAGCGTTCGACCACAGCAGCTCGGATGTCAGAAGCCAAAAGCCAGCTTAGGGGGGGCGGCTTCATCCTCACCACTAGACATGGCTGTCACCTGTCAGGTGTGGCAGAGTTTGGATGGAGTCTTTGCGGCCCTTGGCGACCCAGAGCTACTGCGGCCTCGCATTGAGTTCCTGGCGCTGCGACACATGAACCTGCAGATCGAAGCCGACGACCTCGAGGCTTTCAAGATACTACTCGTGGACATGGCCAACTCCCATCTGGGCACGTCTGAGGCATTCCAGGGTGCCGGCGAGGTTCTCGATGCCGTGGGCAGATCCATGATTGCCACGCGCAAGCACTACAGCGGCAGGATCCGTGTGCTCCTCAAGAGCTGGAAAGGCATAAGAGTTGCGGGGCAGGACTCAAGTCCCACGAACCCGCTGGACTCGACTTCCTTCGAAGAAGACAAGCCAGAGAAGTCCTTCAAAGACCTTGAGAGAAGCCCTACCCTCATCGACCCGAAGACGATGGATGTCAAGAAGGCGGAGGGCTTCATGCCCAGCACTTTCGAGGAGATGGCCCACTTCAATGCCTCAGTCATGGGCCTGGGCAGCCCGAGCTGGCTTTCCGACTTCGTGCCCTGGAGCTGCATGTTGTGTGATGGGTGGTGTGTGCTGATGTGTGATTGTATACGACGGTATACAAATAAACATCTTTGTGTATAAGAAAAATAAGTAAATACACACATATATATATATATTATATGAATTATATTATATTATATTATACTATATTATATTATATTATATTATATTATATTATATTATATTTATTATATATTATATTACATATTATATTATATACTATATTATATTACATATTATATTATATTATACTATACTATATTATATATTATATTATAGTAATATTATATTATAGATATTTATATTTATATTATAGCATTATAATTATTTATCAATGATATGATCTATGATATTCTTGATATGTCATCATGCTTATTATATGATATTTCATGAAATTATATGAATTATGAAATTATATGAAAATTATATTTATGAAATTATATGATATTATTTATTGTTATATGAATTTATATTGTACTATATTATATTATATTATACTATATTATAGTATATATATGATATGTATATTGTATATTGTATATTGTATATTGTATATTGTATATTGTATATTGTATATTGTGTATTCTATAGATTGTATATTGTACATATATATATATATATATGTATGTATATATATATATATATACATGTATATATATATATACATACATATATATATATATATGTATAGTATGTCATAACCCTTCACCCCGGCAACATGGGGAGAAGGGAAGGTTAGCTGGAGCTATCGAAGCAGGCCCTGTGCGAACCGTTATTTCATGTAGTAAGTGTTCGATCAGTATGACCATGAATATCTGATATGCAAACTATGCACGTAGTTGGCACTTCATTCGTATTTCGGTCGTGTTCAAGCACTGTTTGTCCGGATGAAGCACTACTTGCCGAAAAAACGAGCCGTTTGCCTAGACAAAGCACTGTTTGCCAAGCACGCAGTATTTGCCTCGGAAAAGCAAAACCTACAAAGGGTTCTCTTGATAAGTGTAGAACTTTGGGTGGGTTTTCTAGCTCCATGAAAAACGTTTTTGTTGACAGTGAAGGATTCATGAATAAACCTCCAGTTTCTCCTGCGCACAAGCTCCAGTGAGGCATTGTAGGTTGTAGTCATGAACCTGCTTCACTTGGTTCGCTAAACTCATTCATTGCGCCTTCGTTTCCAAGTCCATGAAGCTCTGGTCTTTGCAAGCTCACAGGATTATGGGTTAGAAAGCGGATATACGTGTTTTATTATGGCATTCAGGGGGCACGTGGTTATTACGAAAGTGAATCGACAATCTCCCATACCCTGCAGAGGGTTTAGGGTTTAGGGTTTAGGGTTTAGGGTTCAGGGTTTAGGGTGCACAGGTTGGCAATTGGTCACGCAGTCTGGAGTAGGTTCGTGGGTTGCCTGCGTTCAAGAAGCTCTCCAGGCACCCAAAAAGCGAAAACAAATCGAGGTTTCGGTTTCGTTGCTTTGGGTTTTTCATTCTTTAGGCCCTTGGAATTGTCTGCAAAATGTAGACGAGCGAGCAAGCAGCCTGTGCTACCATGAGTTTGTGCTGGTTACGAGGCAATCAGGGGTACATCAGCATCAGAATCCCTTGAGCCATCCGCATTTGCGAGGTTTTTGTGGGCATAGCACCTTCACATAGCATCTGAGCGACAGGGGACGACGTTTCTCGTCGTTTTTGTTTGTTTGTTCTTTTTTCATTCTGCCCAAACACAGCTGCGAATGTGTTGGCAAGCTCATCTCAAAAAGCGGGTGTGGTGACATGTCTTAGCTGGTTGACACGAAGCCGAGGTGCACTCAATGGATGCCTTGGTGCTAAACATCGGCAGCATGGCCTATCCCAAACTCTGGACCCCTCAACCCCTAAACCCCTAAACCCCTAAACCCCCAAACCCCCAAACCCCTCAACCCCTAAACCCCAAGACCCCTAACCCCTAACCCCTAAAACCCCTAAAACCCCTAAAACCCCTAAAACCCCTAAAACCCCTAAAACCCCTAAAACCCCTAAAACCCCTAAAACCCCTAAAACCCCTAAAACCCCTAAAACCCCTAAACCCCTAAACCCTTAAAATCCTAACCCCTAAAACCCCTAAAACCCCGAAACTCCATTTAGGGTTGCCCGCATGTCATCAGTCTGTGAAACGGTCGGGGGGTGGCTGCAGAGAAGTGCGGGTAAGGTTTTGGGTTCAAGGTTTTAGGTTTTCGGTGTTTAAGGGTTTAGGGTTTTAGGGTTTGGTTGTTTTTTTGGGTTCAGGGTTTGGGGTTTTCAGGTTTTTGGCTTTTAGGGTTTTTGGGTCTTGGAGTTTCAGGGTTTAGGGTTTAGGGCTACAGGTTGTTGAGGCATCAGGAAATTTTTAGAAGGAAGTGAGCAGGCATTTGTAAGGACGGAAAGGCGACGGGAAAGGGTTCGAAACATCGCAGTCATGAGCGGCTGTTTTCCTTTGGAAATACCGGGCAATCGAACTTCGTCACTTCGTCGACGTTTGAAGGGAACCGTGAATTCTTGTTACGTTCGAAAAGAAATTCTCGATTTCCCTCATACCTTCAGCTTAAAGCCCATGTTCCCTCTTAGCATGCACCTTTTTTAGATATCCATAGCATAACCTTCCAATGATGGCACGAAAGGATGGGTTGAGGGAAGGAGGGGAAGGAAAGCAAGGATGGAAAGAAGGAAAGGAAGAAAGACAGATGAAAGGACTGAAACAGAAGAAGGACATGCGCTGCTGTCATTTCTTACAAGCGGGAAAAGGACACCTTCCTTATAGAGCCATTGTTCACCCCATGTAGCTTTATGAAATGTCATGACATCTTTGGAAATGTGTGTTCGTGCTTGGAAATATTTAGAAACAGCATGAGCCGTACGAAATGCGTTTTTTAGGCATACCTGATCTTAGAAAAGTGCTGGGCGCTCCCACCTAGGACCTAGGCGCAGTGCACATTTAAGCTTGCGAGGGATGACCTCTCGATGTTTCCGGCTGCCCGTGACGCTGTCGCTACGGCGCCGTGCAAATTTGAGGGCCACAAACGTGAAGAAGTGTCCAGAACACCGCAAGCAGCATGCTTTTTGCCCGCGCGGGTGGGTGCCCATCTTGCAGGTCTTAGTCTTGCGCACCTTCAGTCGTCCAAGGCCTAGGTCCCATAGTTTTCTCAGGCGTGCGCTATCACGAAAAAAACGGGAAACAGGAAGAGACAGTGCATCCCGCCTAAACCCTAAACCCTAAACCCTAGACCCTAAACCCTAATTCCTAAACCCTAAACCCTAAATCCTAAACCCTAAACCCTAAACCCTAAACCCTAAACCCTAAACCCTAAACCCTAAACCCTAAAGAGAGTTCTTGGCTCTTTGCCAAGCCCTGAGCCTAAAGCCTCGCTGCCTTGCACGAGGCAACATCGCCAGGCTGCGGGAGGAGTGCGATGTCCTGTCTGTGCTTCTTTGGCGCCACTCGCGCACCGAGAAGGTGCAGCATGATTTCTTTTGCAGCAGCATTTGAGTGGGGGTTTACGACAGTAGGGGACCCCTAAAATAGACCCCAAATAGTAGTATTCCCTTATAATCAGAACCCGAATAAGGTGCCCCTAATATCGTAAGCCCTTTAAGTGGCAGCATGTTGGGAGAGAACCCTCGTGATCAGAGCTCGGGCACAGGTAGACATTCACGGCTTCCAGTCTGTACTCTTTGCCTCCTTGAGGGCCCTCTTGCAGCAGGACCTGCAGTGCTCAGGCGGTTCAGGGTTTTGGGTTCAAGACCGACTGCTTCTTGCGGTAGCAGGTCAAAGCATTTTCAGCCCGGAAAGGGTCGCCAGCTTCGCGATTGCCAGGGGACGCTTAAAACCTAAAGCTGCACGAGTTTGCCGCAGAATTTCACGCCATCCAATGTCTTACAGCATTGTCTCAGCGATTCCCCATTTCGACAAGCATGTGACAGCAGAGTTGCTTGATGCCTGCGCGGGTCGTAGCAGGATTGGAAGACGAAGCATGCATCCCGGTTACAATATTTGGCCTCACCTGCTGGAACCCTAAACCCTAAACCCTCAACCCTCAACCCTAAACCCTAAACCCTAAACCCGAAACCCTAAACATTCTGGCATGATCTCCTTTCTCGGTGGGCCCTTGGGATCTTCGGTATTTTCTCTTCTCGGGTTTCAGAGGGTCAAGTTTAGGAAAACATTTTGCGGAGGGTTTTTAAGGGCCATCCTAGCAATCTTTTCCCCAAAGCTGCCAAGGAAGAGGCCTGGCGTTGGTTTTGGCAGTGCCTGGAATCGTTCCTGGATGCCAAGCTCCCACTGAGCCAGTGCGCCTGCGGACCCCCCTGGCTGATTCCTCGGCTTCGGCTACGCCGTTTAAGAAGGACCTCACGGCTACGCCACGACCTCAAACCCTAGCCCTAAACCCTGAACCCTAAACCCTAAACCCTAAACCGACTCAGTCTATGGCTCTCAGGGCTTCAGGTCCCGCCTAATCGTGTGTGAGGTGAGCACGCATACCAGGTGAAATCAAGGAGTGAGCTCTTACGATTTGTTACGTTTGTTGCCGTGACAAAGAGACACCCTTTAGAACAATCTCATAGAACGTATTTTCGATAAAGCAATATAATACAACGTATCATTCTATATAGTCTTCTTTTATCAACAAGCAATACACATAGCGTGTACAACAATGTGCCAGAATGTACTGTGATGCAATGCAATGTAATGTATCGCCATATATGTATGCTATGCTTTAGACTATGATGTAATATGACGTAGGATAATGTAACAAAATATATTACAGTGTACTACAATGTAGCAGCATGTCACATAGAGCATAATGTAGTATGCTGTGATGCAATGCAATCTCATGTAGTATATTGCAGTATAATGTAAAATACTGTAGTATAATGTAGTATAATGAGAATGTTATATACTGCAATATACTGTAGCATAGCGTAATATAGTCTAATGCAAAATAATATACTCCTGTAGCACAAATATGCTGTATTGCAGCGTACCGTAACGTCCCATGTGAACTCGTCTCGGGAGCTCGCTCTGTCGCGCTCGATTTTCCGTTTTGTTGCACGTTGTCCGCCAACGATCAGGTTCCGTATTCTTGGCGAGGTCAGACAAGTTGTCGCTTTTCGGATGTTGTTTCGTTTCCGGATCCAATCCGTTGGCGATCATGAGCTTCCCGTGCGGGAGGTACCAAAACAACCTTCGAACGTTCTTGGGCTTCTCGGCAGACTGCAAATCCGAAGTGTGTCTGGTCTACCTGAGTCTACCTTCCATGCTCTTTAGGGTTTAGGGTTTAGGGCTCTGATTTGAGGCTCAATGGATGACGTGGAGGCGGCTGAGTTTCGGCTCGAGGTTTGGGAGGACTTCATCCGGATCTGCCCGGAATACCAGGAGCTTTCCTTCCGCTTCGTGCTACAACTGCATAAGGGGATGGGCCACTTGCGCTCCCTTGGCACATTCCTGGCACGCAGGACTTTCTGAAAGCCAGCAGCCAGAGGTTGTCGTGGCTGACAGGCAACATCTTGAGGATCTTGCCGCTTAGCAGCCACGCGTTGTTCTGAAGTTTGATGAGCCTGCCTCTGACAGGTTTTTGAAAAGGGAGCAGTTCTAGGGATCCCTTGATGTAGCCTGCAAAGGCCCAAGATTCTCGAATGGAAGGCTTTCCTGACAGTCCTAAGGACCGACATCTTCACCAAGACCCACACCACAGTTCGAAAACTCTCTGCCCTGGGACTCACGCATGCTGGCATGGGAATCCCAGAGGACTTGCGATTTTCATGTCGGACTCACCATGTGAGCGTTGCCCTTTGAATTGCATTGCTGCGCTGTAGCTTCTGGTGCTGCATTTAAGAACATTGGTCCAGGATGCCCTCGGAATCTTCCCGCAGTCCTTCATGGTCACAGTTGGCAAGCACAGCACTCTTGGCTGAGACGATCTGTCTTGTTCTCCCTCCTTAGGTCTCTGGCCTCTGAGCGCCCTAAGATGTTGCAAGCCAAAGCAGCTCACTGAACCCAAAGCCCCAAACCCTACACCCTACACCCTACACCCTAAACCCTAAACCCCAAACCCTAAACCCTAAACCCTAAACCCAAAGATCCTACTGTAACGCTTTTTGAGCCGTGCAAGACGTGTTATTTGCGCTTGAGGCGAAGAGTCTTGGCTCCCTGGTGTTCGCTGGAGCATCAGCTTGGATGCTCGGGCTTGCATGTACTTTCGCAAAACCCTAAACCCTAAACCTTAAACCCTAAACCCTAAACCCTAAACCCTGAACCCTAGACACCCTAAACCCTAAACCCTAAACCCTAAACTCTAAACCCTAAACCCTAAACCCTAAACCCTAAACCCTAAACCCTAAACCCTAAACCCTAAACCCTAAACACCCCAAACCCTAAACCCTAAACCCAGCCGAAGTGCCCCATGCCCAAACTTCGCTTTCCAACATCTCTTGATGCTCTAATGATACAAAGAAATCCGTGACTCCCATGGCATTCCGCACGCAGCGGCAGTTCTTTCAGCTGCCGCTTTTTGCAGACTTCCGAGGTGTCGCGAATTCTGCTGAGGACTACGAACGAAGGTCAGTGTCCTAACTGGTGGTGTCTGCGGATTGTCTTGCGCAGGGGATGTCTTGACCTCACACTACACTGTTCTGAGGTTCCACCGTGGTCATGCAGTCCATCAGCAAGGACTGGCGCATCCTCGTGCTGCCCGTAACTTGTAGCTTTGGAGTTCGCGTTGCTGCTGCCCCTTGCAAGAGTGGCGCTGCATGAGCTGGCTGAGGTTTAGGGGTTTAGGGTTTAGGGTTTAGGGTTTAGGGTTTAGGGGTTTAGGGTTTAGGGTCCTAGCTGAGCCCTGAAGCTGCGCAGGACTCGGACAGAGAACTGAGAAGAGCCGTGGCGTTCGAACCGCGCCAAAGCCGGGACTCCGCGCCTGGCCCCGTCAGGGCGAAGTCACACTTAGATCATTATTACGATTAGTATCAGAATTATTTGTTATTGTTATTCTGATTATTGTCATTACTATTATTATGATTATTATTGTTATTCTGATAATGATGATGATGATCATTATTCGAACATCTCGCGAGCACAGGTGCTTTTGCACGTTCAAGTGGGAACAGAATCCATCTCTCCACTCTTATATGCCATCGAGGCTTGGCCGGTATCAGACATTTGCAGAAGAGCAGAGCAGAGCAGATAGCAGCAGGGGGCAGGAGAGCGCAGCAGGGAGGAGCAGAGAGGGCAGAGAGCGCAGACGGCATTGCCGAGCGCGCGGAGCGCAGAGCGCACAGGGCAGCGCAGCGCGAGCAGGGAGCGGAGAGCAGGGAGCGCGGAGCAGGGAGCGGGAAGCAGGGAGCGCGGAGAAGGGAACGCGGAGCAGGGAGTGGGGAGCAGGGAGCAGGGAGCGGAGCGGAGCCGAGCAGAGCGGAGCAGAGCAGAGGGGTGGCTGTTTGTTGTGCATAGTTTCCCCCTTGCGAAGAAGTCCCGACTCCAGTTCTCTCTTGGGATTTTGAGGGAACCCTTGCAAAAGCACTTAAACGTACTGGGGAGTGCACTCAAAGCTCTGAGATCCAGTGAATCTTGGCGGCTTCTATGTGGTCACCTGTCTAAATCATAGCCCTTCTGGGGTTGCTACCTAACATTTAAATACCCCCAAAAGGGTGTACGGTTTAGGGTTTAGGGTTTATAGGGACCATGTACCCCACCCTGCGCTTGCCCGAATCCAAGGACAGTGGGGCCCTCAATACCGCGCGGGCCATTTTTGTCGACCTCCTCACAATTCGAGCTGACCGCTCGCGGTACTACTACGGCATGGAGGCTGAAGACTTTTCTGGCTGGCTTTTGGTCGGGAATGAGGGAATGAGGTAAACACTACGCCACGCACATATTCTCTTTGGGACCTTGGGGGGGCGGGGGGGGGGGGGGGTTGACAAGTGCGGCTAAAAAATCCTCGAAAAGCTGAAAAGCCCGAAAAGCCCCGAAAAAATCGACCGGCAAAGCGAAAAGTCCGAAAAGAGAGAAAAGTTTGAAAAAGCAAAAATACGACAAGTGTAAAACGCCCAAAAAGAACGGGAAAGCCGGAAAGTCAAGAGTCCCGAAAAGCTTGAAAGCATCGAAAAAACAGGTCTTTCTTGCAGTTCTCTGGCTATCAAATGCAACGGCGGCAGGCAAGCTAAGAGCTTTTAGACCTGGCCATCTCAAGTTTTGTGGCTGATGTGGGCTCTAAATCTGAGCCGGTTTCTGGTTAAGGCTTGAAGGGTGCAGGAACCAAAAATGCTGAGGGTTAAGGGTTTAGGAATATCCATCGAGACCCTAAACCTTAAACCCTAAACCCTAAACCCTAAACCCTAAACCCCAAAGCCTAAACCGTGAAACCCTAAACCCTAAACCCTAAACTAAAGAGTGGACCTGTGCACCCTCAGCCACCCACCCCTGTGCATCAAGTCCCAGAAACCTTTCAAAAGGTTTAGACCCAAAACCCTAAACCCTAAACCCAAAACCCAAAACCCAGAACCCTAAACCCTACACCTTAACCCTTACGCTGCCGGGGGATGACTTTTTGGATTTTCGACTTTTCGAGCTTTCGTACTTTCCCTGGCTGTTTCAGCTTTCCGAAGCTCCTCGTGACTTTTTTCGACTGGGGCCTTGTCGACCTTGAAGCTTTCGCGGAATCCTACCCTTTCGCATGAAACTCTTCACTTTCGACTCTTTAGCTCTGCGGGAGTCTCGTGGCACCCAGAAGGAGAGAACCGGCCAGGCCCAAACTTAGATCAAATTGCGAGGCAAATCTAGAAGGCCTGGCAAGGTTGGGTTTAGGGTTTGGGGTTTAGGGCTTTTAGGGTTTTTAGGGTTTATGGGTTTAGTGTTGAGACTTCCTTACGCATTCATTCGACACAAAACAAGTATGGAGAGCAGGAACGATTAAATCATGACAGGTTTCCCTACTACCCCCCTCTATACTACTCCCCCTCCACCCTAGGTTCCCTCCGTAACTAAGGCTATTTAGGGACAATTGAGCCTCAGTAAGGTTATTTGAGGGGGGAACCTAGGGGGGTAGCATAGACGGGGTTAGTAGGGAAACCCATGATTGAAGTCCTGCCAAATCCTTGATAAGTGGTAGGCAGCTTGTGCCCTACAGCGACCCCCTCATTCAACACCCTAAACCCTAAACCCTAAACCCTAAACCCTAAACCCTAAACCCCAAACCCCTAAACTCTAAACCGTAGAATTCTGTAGGCCCTCTGGAAGCGGCACCCGGACATCGTGCCGATCCTCTGCCACCGTGCGCCCTCGCTGCTGTCCACACTGCTGCCGGGCCTGCGGTGGGAGATGCTTCTCGTGTCAGGGTTTAGGGTTTAGGGTTTAGGGTTCAGGGTTTAGGGTTTGTTAGTTGTGTTTTCGTGTTCGGGTTTGGGGACAGAGTTGTCAGCCCAGGCTGGACGGACTGATCTGGAAGTCCGCCAAGGTGGCTGAGGTGGGACAAGGGAGCTGACCAGCTAGCAGTATATTATATAATATTTATATACTCAAATACATATATCTATGTATATATGATATGTATATATATATGTAAACATATATATATATATATATCTATAAACATACCATTTTCATTTTTGGGTAGTTCCCCCCCCCCCCCCCCCTCCCCCAATGAAAACCTTGGCAGGCGCGGTAGAAACAGGACTTCGATTGTCGATGCCCCATCCAAGGATGCTTTGAGTAGACAACCTCCCTCGAAGCCGCTTTAAAGCCAACAGTGTCTATAGGTGTGCCTTTAAGTGTAGGGTTTAGGGTTTTGGGTTTAGGGTTTTGATTTTGAACTGTATGTTAAAAATGACAGTTTTGCAAATGGTCGACCATTCTTGTTGTCTGGCCCAAGAAGAACTCTTTGATTAAGTTATCGTGAGGCAGATTGTTACATACCTATTACAACTAGAATCTCGCGCATGAATAATCTCGTTAAAGCCCTTTGTAATGGACAGAACCAACAAAATTACAATTACATACAAATATAGTTAGTTGAGTTATCAAGCAGAATATACCTATTATATGACCGCAGGAATAATGCAACTATTAGAATGTTAAACTTAGTATATTCAGTGCCACTGATACAACAAAAATGTAGTTCATACAACTACCATACGAACTACTGCAATTGTAACATGATTTTTAGCGATATAAAGATACAACTTTAGCTGATACAACTGATACAACTAATCTTCTAATGTATGCAACCATTGGAATTCACACAAGGCGATGGGCTCATTATTCCAGCTGTGCAACCCTACAGCCAGCCAGACAGAGATGATCAAGTTGCGTTCCTTTCCGTTCCGGCATTCCGTTCTGGCCCGTCCTCCGGGGTCCCTCGCCTCTAGAGACAGAAACCCAAACCCTTCGGCTGTTGGGAATGATAATGTGCATTATATATCGCCTAGGCACTACAATCAGTATTCATTTTATCCTTATGACCTAGTCGTATATTT